GGATGAGGTTCATAGGTGGATCATGAAATCAACTTAGTAGCTTTGTCTAGCACTAAAACAAAACAAAAACTCAAATGGAAAATGTTACCGTATACTATACAGTGTGGTTTTATGAAACTTCTTGTTCCATTCTGTCACGAGATATCAGGAAGGCCCCTGCTCTAGACAGAGGAGGTATATTTGGTGGCTTTGGCCAGCAGGATGGGGAGCCCAGAGGACTGGAGAGTGAGTTCATAGATTGTAATGGGAGGAGCCCTCAATGTGTGTGACCCAATACTGTCTCTAGGACACCTGGAAGGAAAAGGATGGTGCGGGAGGGGGATGTGGAGGTGGAAAGAAGCCTTTGCAGACTTGGCACAATTATGGCGGTGACTAAGGTGCTACTGAAAGGAAGTTCACAAAAGCACCTGGGCAGAGCAATTACCTGGAAGGAGCAGTTTCCCCTGAAGAAGCAAGAGGGGCTACCTGGTCCCGTTATCCTCATGAAATGCCTTTGATTATGGTGACACCTTGCAATGGCGCAACAAATTACACTTTCTAGAGTCCCCAGCTCTGCTTACTTCTGGGAGGTCAGGGGAGGGTATCATTAACTCATATCAGAGATGGGGAAACGGAGGAGTTGAGTGGTGATGCCAGGCCTCCTTTCTCAGCGGGCACCCTGCCCACCTCCCTTTAATGTGAGTGTGATGGTGCAGGTTCAAGACCCTGGCTGCCCATTAGAATTTCCGGGCAACTTCTGTAAAAGTTCCCAGTGCTTTCCCATGATATCAAAATCTCCAGAATCTCCAGGGTTGGGCCTGGCCTCTTTCAAAACTTCATTTGGAGAATGAAGGACAAGTGTGCAGTGGGCAGTTGGGTTGAAGAGCAGGGCCACGGTCCCTCCCCCAGGCTCAGGCCTCTCTGGCCTGGTTGATGCACAGGCTCAAATGGAGTCACTGTTTTGCAGAGTAAGTCCCCTGTGGGGTTGCCACATATCTCCAGGGACCTCCAGAGAGGAGGTGTGAACAGGAAGATGGGGAGGCAGGCGGTTCTGACAGGCAGAAAGCAAACAGCTCACAGGGGTGGCAGGCTGCATTTTATTCATCGTTAATTTAAACACCCTTCAAGTCCTCTCTTGAAGTGCCGCTCAGAAAAAGAAACGTGTTGTTGAAGAAGCCCTGCATGCTCCACCCMCCTCCTGAGAGACCGAGTAGCATAGAAAATGAGTTGTAAAGCAGGGGCAGCTTCCTCTGGGAGGAAAGGGAGGGGGCCAGGCGAGGGCAGACCCCTCATGGCTTCTCAATGCACGCGATGAGGCTGGCTTTGCTCTGCGTTGCATGGAAAATATCACAGAGTGATGTTACACCCTGAGGTGCCCTAGGGTGACAGAGCTCCTCCAGGAGTCCAGGCTCCAAGTCCCCCGCTGCTGAGCCTGCTGGGAGTCAGGAATGGCTTCATTAGTCCCTCCCACCCCATAGGAGGAGCTTTAGGAGTCACCAAGGCCAGGGTTATTCAACTGCTGTAGCAAACAGAGCCCCGCAGTCTGGATGTGCTTTCCAGGCGGTGATGTAGAATTGTGCTTTTTATTTTTGAGAGTGTAAAAGGTTACAGTAAGATGAAACTGCATGGCCCACAGCTCCTCGGTGGCCTCCATGGACTGTCTTCTGCCTCCATTCCCCGTGAAGGCTCAGTCACTCCTCACCTCAGAGCCTGCAGGAAGAGGACTCTGCTAGAAGGCTTGAGGGACAGAGGCCCCCGGGTCAGCTGCTGCTCAGGACGCGACTTGGTTTGGGGTGCTGGCTTCTGTGTAAAACAAACACACGCACATGGTACATAAAGCTCCGCCAAGGCAGAGAGGGGCTTCCCAGGTCCTAGCAGACCTCTAGAGAATCAAACATGAACCATCTTTCTTCTTAAAGCAGCCCAGACTGATTTTTCCTTGCAGAGAAGGGCTAATAGCTCTTTGTAAGGCTGATGTGTGTGCAGGTACACCTGTCCCAGGGCTGTCTGACCTTTTCCACAGGCTGAGGGTTGAGACTCCCTGAGCCTTAGGACTCCTTCACCAGGCCTGGGCCTCCGGCTTCACTCACAGAATGAAGGAATCTGTCACCCAGCATTAGCAAGCAGGTGCACCACAGTGGCTTCTTAACCTGTCTCTGAGAGGGCCCAGCACCAAGACCCTTCTTGGCCACAGCTGAAATGGCAAGGGCTTCTTGGAGTGCCTTGATGGAGCCCCACAGTTCAGCCTGAGATGGGTGAATGTGGGCCTGAGGTTAGGAACAGCTCCCAGAGCCTGTGTAAGTTGCAGATTGAAGTGAGCTACCAGCTGTGGGTCAATCTAGAGAGCCCTTGGCATCTGACAGAATCGAACCCTTCTTAGCCCAAAGTTGGAAAGAAACTGCATGAAGGAAAGGGATCCCTATCAATGTCATTGTTCCTGAAATTATGTGAAGACCCCATCCCATCCCTGCTTCTCATTTTAGGCCCTCAAGCAGGATATTAACCAAACATCTTTTAGGGGTGGGTTAGTAGAATGTCCCACCCAGTGCTCTGGCCCAGCTTTTGAAGGCAGCAGTCCTAAGCCTTTTGGTCTAAGGGGAAGGACAATGATGTGCTATACCCTCCAGTGTCACTGAGACTGGGGTAGAGGGATGGGGACTTGGRGGAAAATGCGCATGTGGTTCTGGATCTTGAGCTACCACCATACTTGGAGGATTAATGTTTCTCTGGGAAGTTGGGAGGCTTATGGCTCCTTTACAAATTTGCTCAGCTGTGCCCAACTGCCTCCCTCCAAAGCAAAAACATAGGAAAGGAAGAGAAAACATCTAAGGCTGGAGCATAAGCAACTTAGGATTGACTCTAGGAAGCACTATTGACAGAGGAGACTGCCAAGGAATGTTTTGTATTTCTCTTCTCTGGAGGCAGAGCCGTCCCTCCCAGGGGGACAGGATTCCATCATTGCTGTGCGCCTGTTGGTGGGATGGAAACTTGGTAGCTGGGCCTTTGCCCCTCTGTGCTGTTGCCCAGGGCTCCCTGGCCCTAGGTAGGCTGCTATTTTGCCTGTAACTGAGTTCTTATGTCCAGATGCCTCTACCCCAGGGATCTTTACTTCCTCCCCTGGATAGCTCAGATCTCCAAGTTATTTCCTGTTGCCTAGGTGACATCTCTAATTGGATGCCTTTTAATGGTTCCTTCTTTAAAAGAGATGAACCTGGCACTTTATTTCCAAGTCCCACTAGACATGTGTCTCTCTGAGCGCATGCAGTCCCTTCGTGTGAATGCAGCCAGCATTCAAATGGGTGTTCACAGGACTGACCTGACTGACAATCATGGTGGATCCCAGAAGCTGAACTCTTGGAGGAGCTTACCTCTCAGGATTTAGCAAGACTGACTCCCCTCCTGGTCAGCCCTGCCTCACTGGCTTCATCTCAGATGAAGTCCTATGTTTAAAAACCAACCCCAACCCAAGTTAAGAATTACCCAAAGTAACTGGAGAGTGACTGAGATCTCAGCTAATTTTTTTCCTTCTTGCCATAAACCTGAAGGGGAGAGAGGAGTTTGATATTCAACATGATTCTTAATGCTGTGTGTACATGAGTGTGCAGGTGTGCACATTTGGGTGTAGGTATGAGTGTGTAAGAGTCTGTGCCTGTGTGTGCTCTAGACACAGTTGCCAGGGAGGGAGATGTCATAGCATCCCCGCAGCTGGTGGTGAAGTGGTACTTTTCTAAGACTTCCCAACAGAAATAGTATATAGCCTCAAGCCACCAACTTTTCAATGAAGCCTGGATATAGAGGGGGCTCTTCTGGGAGAATCTGTCCCTCAGCTTGAGGATCATCCAGACCATAACTTTAATCCCAAAATTACTCTAATCCATAGGTTCCCCCAGCTCCCTTCCTCYTGTCTTTCTCCACCTTTGATGCAAACTGTGCATGAGAAAACAAAAACAAAAACTGATTTGAGGGGCACATAGGATTTAGAATGGAACTCTGCTACTGCTGACCCCAAATACCTTATGAGCACTGAAGCCAAATGCCCTGACATTTGCAGGATGGCTACTTTGGGTTTATGGTGACACAGGCCCTGGGTCCCCAAGGGAGTAGCTGGCAGAGCCCTAACTTGGGAGGAGGAGGGATACTAGGGGGCCATGCTCTGCACCAACAGGCTCTCTAACAATGGTAAAATGTCAAACTGTCAACAGTAGTTAAAAGAAGAAGAAGAAAATGACAACAATAACAAAAAATCTTGTCTGAGAAGAATCAAATATTCCTGGTTAATAATGAAGAAGAGCATTCCTATATGTGGATGAAGCTTGTGAATGAAAGGAGGGTTGGGGGACTTAACATGTGCCTCAAAGATGAGCCAGCTGAAGCAGAGCAGGGCTCCCGCAGTCTGAGAGCCCGGCTCCTGCGGGCCACCCTGGGCTTTCCACCATTAGAAGTAGCTGCCCGGTGTGTTGTGCTAAGTGGACTCACTCCAGGCTGAGAAAGGCCAGCTAAGCCCCTTACCATTTGCAATTTCCAAATCTGGGGGAAATGCCACAGTCTGCAAGTTGGTGCTATGTTTCATCTCATTGCATAATACTACACCATTCTCCGTGTGTAGTGGCTGTTCTATATATATACATGGGGAGGCAACATATGGCTCTCCCCACCCCCACCTGTCAAAACTGTGACTATATCACTTCTGACGACCAGAAGGAAGCTGCTAGGCTGGGCCAGGATTCTAAATGCTGAGGAGGTAATTCAGAGCCATGAAAAGCTGCACCATATGCTTTGGGGTTGCCAGCTGCTTATGTGCATGGGGAAAGGTTTAGTGCCAGTCAGCAGACCCCGAGAATGGCATTCTCCTTGCTGCAGTGTGCACTGAATGGGGGTCTGGGGTGTCATTGTTTTCTCTCCCTGGAGAAAAATCTGTTGGGGGCCACGGTTCTCCAAGAGGGGACTCACAAGGGACACAGGCTCCTCCAAAACCTGCCCTTGATAACATCAGGCCTGGCCAAATAGTATTTCTTTTTTAAAAAATAATTTTTTTTTGGTTTCATTTTATTGGATAAAGATTAAGAAAGCGCCAGCTCTGTGAGAAGTGAAGCCAATCACGCCCAGCGGCCCGCAGCCTGGGGAGGGTCCACGGCGTTGGCAGGCAGGCGGGCAGTCTACCTGGAGGAGCTGGTCTCCGCCAGCCGGTTGTTCATGATGCCCAGCGCGCCCACGCCGCCCGAGAAGCCGTTCTGGCGCGTGTTGACGCAAACGCTGCGCGGGTAGCCGTTGGCCGTCTCCGACAGCTGCTTCTGCAGCAGCGCCAGCGACACTTTGTTGGAGGCCGTGAGGTCGCGCATGGAGATGAGCTCGCCCGACAGGCGGCGGCCTTCGGTGTCGCTGTCGCGGGCCGCGGGGTCTGCGCCGAGCGCGGCCAGGCGGCGACGCAGCCGCGAGCCCGGTGTGATGGCGTTGCGCCGGGCCAGGGGCGCGCCGGGCGCGGGGCAGCAGTGCGCACAGCAGCGGCAGCTCAGCTTGCGCAGCATCCAGTTGAGCACCTGCTTGATGAGGATGGAGATGACGTTGAAGAGGGARTAGATGCAGCACACGCCGAGGAGAATGAAGAGGAAGTTGCCCAGGCGGTAGAGCCCCTGGTTCCGGTAGGCGGCGTGCTGGCTGCTCACCAGGTCCCCGAAGCCGATGGTGCTGAAGGTGACGAAGCAGAAGTAGAGCGAGTCCACGTAGTCCCATCCCTCCACGCTGGTGTACATGGCTGAGGCGCAGCAGGACAGCAGCACGGCGAACAGGCCCAGGATGAGCAGCACGTGGTACACCGAGGGCTTCCAGCCCGCCAGGCTGTCGGCCTCCGAGAGCGCAGAGCCGCGGCGGAAGGTGGYGGGCAGCAGGCCGCTGCGGCGCAGCTGGCGCTCCCTGCACGTGCGCATGATGAAGGCCAGCAGCGAGATGATGCGTTCCAGAAAGAGGTTGAAGAAAAGGATGGTCCCTGCGCAGCCAAACAGCCCATAGGCGATGAGGAAGGCCTTCCCACCCACTGTAGCAGGGGTGGTCATGCCGAAACCTGTGGAGACACAGCGCGGGTCAGCAAGGGCAGGTGGACCCTACCAGGTGTGGGTGTGTGGCAGGTGAATGCAGGTGCTGAATGGGCAGCTATTCTGAGTGGCTCCACTTAGGTGTGTACTTTTGTCTCCCTTGGRGATTGATACTAGATCGGGTTCCTCATGTTGGCAACCCCCAAACTATAAATGAACATGGTGGAGCAGGATCATTAGGAAGGACCCAGTCCTCAGGACACACAAACCAGAAACCACTGCTCAGGTGCAAATCACTGACATGCCCAAAAGCCAACAAGTGACACCTGTTTTCCCACCCTCCAAACTGATTWAAAAAAAATATATGTATTTTTTAGTTGCAGGTGGACACAATATCTTTATTTCATTTTTATGTGGTGCTGAGGATTGAATCCAGTGCTTCACAAGTGCTAGGTGAACACTCTACTACTGAGCCACAACCCCAGCCCCTCAAAACTGATTTTTTTTTTTTAATGAAACTGTAGCATACCAGAATTCCATGCAACCTTCACTGTCATTGGGATTGCTCACTCTGGAACAAGGTAGACTGTACTCAGGTAGCTACAGTTTATGGTCTCTGAAACAGGATTTATGAAGCAGACAAAAGGATCATGGGAAAGTGAGTCCACCCACAGCCTTCAGAGTGCCAGCGTGACTCTGCCATGGGGGGTCAGCTTCTATCCTTACAAGGATCATTATCAATCACCCTTGTGCACTGTTATGGTTTAGTTGTGTCTCCCAAAAGCTCAATGTGTGTGACATTGCAAGAAAGTTCAGATAAGCAATGATTGGGTTGTGAGAGCTTAACCTATCAGTGATTTAATCCCCTGATAGGGATTAACTGAATGGTAACTGAAGTAGTAGGGTATGGCTGGAGGAGGTGGGAACTGGGACGTGGCTTTGGGGTATATATTTGTATCTGGTAAGTGGAGTCTCTCTCTGCTTCCTGATCTCATGTGAGCTGCTTCCCTCAGCCATACTCTTCCACCATGATGTTCAGCTTTCTCCTCAAGCCCCAAGGAATAGAACAGGTCTTCTAAGGACTAAGACCTCTGAAACCRTGAGCCCCCAGATAAATTTTTCCTCCTCTAAAATCGTTCTGGTCAGATCCTTTAGTCATGGCAGTGAAAAAGCTGACTAAAACACACCCTGTGGCCAAGGGTGAAGATCTGGGCCCAGCTGCTGATTGTGTGTCTAGGATTGGTCCTGGGAGGTCTGACTTGTACCTGGGCAGCTGCTTATTGCTTTAAAATCTTATATAACTATTAAGTTACCCATTTGTTCAAATCACAGGCTTTAAAGGAGTCTTTATCAATTGATTTCTACAGAAGGCCTGGCTGCCCATCTGTGCACTCACCCCAGACATCCAGGGCAGTACAGAGAGGCGAATCTGCCCCTGCAACCWGAGCTCTGTCTGAGCTAGCTGTGGTCTCTCTGTGGGACCCAAGAGGAGGGGATTTAATCTCTTGACAGGAAGAATCACTAGTTGTTTGGAGCCTGAGCTGAAAATGGACCCCCTGTCTAAGAAGCACCATGGTGCATTTCGGTAGCTGTGGCAGCAAAACTTCAGGGGCATTTCTGTCCAATTCATGCCCAATCGCAGGARRCCAAGYTGCCCATGGAGTAGGACAACCCTGRGAAAGGGGCAGAGAAGAATTTGGTCCCWTTTGGCTATTTTTCCTAAACAGAGAAAACATCTCTTGTAATTTTTCATAGTACATTTCTTAAACCTATATTCTAATCATTCTCTAGATTCCCTGAGGAAATGCCTAAATGCTTGACTATGGTGTTCATTTATGTTTAATGACTCAAGTTTGGGGGAAATCTTATGCTATTATCCATGTTAAAGAAGATGGGTTATGTTCTTATATGCACACTTTGTCCACAGAAGAGTGAAAAACAAAACAAACAAACAAAAACAACAGTGAAAACCAACCCCAAGCTAGCAGTTTACCTAGGAACTTGAGAGAAGGATTGTTATATTGAAAAGCCAAACTCAAGTCCTTGATTCATTAAGAAATCACCTCTGGGCTGGGCAGAGTGGTGCATGCCTGTAGTCCCAGCCAATCAGGAGGTTGAGTTAAGAGAGTCAAAAGTTTGAGGCCATTCTCAGCGACTTAGTGAGCAACTTAACAAGACCCTCTCCCAAAAGCAAATAAAAAAGGACTAGGGATTAGCATGTAGGCCAGAGATAAAGAACCCCTGGATTCAATCCCTAGCAACCACCAAAAAAGAAAGAAACCATCTCTAAATCTATATGGCTTCATGTGGAGTGGGAGTATGAGTTTGTATTTTTAAAAAGTTCTAGCTTTTTAGCCAAAGTGACCAGCAACAGAAGAGAATACTATACAGCCATAAAAATACAAACCACAGCTACTTACAGCAACATGGATGAGTCTCAAAAAAAAAAAAAAAAAAGAATGTTGAACAAAAGAAGCTGGACACTTAAGAATACATTCTGCAGGCTGGGATTGTAGCTCAGTGGTAGAGCACTTGCCTAGCATGTAGGAGGTCCTGGGTTTGATCTCCAGCACCCCCCTATAAAACTAAATAAGCAAAATAAAGATAYTCTGTCCATCTACAATTAAAAATATTAAAAACAAACACCAGGTAAAAACACACTAAAATCTCAGATTTTTTTTTAGGGAAATATACTTCATTGGTCAAATTATTTTTATTGTTTGTGGTACTGGGGATTGAATTCAGGAGCACTCTACCACTGAGCCACATTTGTAGCCCTTTTTATTTTGAGATAGGGCCTCACTAAGCTGCCAAGACTGAGCTTGAACTTGCAATCCTGCCTCAGCCTCTCATGGTGAGATTGCAGGTGTGTGCCTTGTGCCCTGTGGCTTATAAGAAAAAAACAAAAAAGATGGTACACACAGGCTCCACTCAACAGACAAGGAAACTGCTGCTGGAAATGGAACTGAGACTGAAGCCCACGTCTGCTGACATCTGTAGTCCATGCTGCCCACCACATAAGACTGTCCCTCGGAGCTRTCCTAAGACAGCTCCACTATCTTGGGGAACCAAATCGCAGTTCTCCAGGGCTGCTGCCAGGAGAGTATTTTCACGGGCGAGTGGCTGTTCCCAAGTCCTCTGTTATGGCTCTTTGTACTGATCACTGCTGCCTCGTTGGACCAGGACCCTGCTTTTCCCTTAATGCTCCTGCCAATTTGGGTTCATTGACTGAGAGAATCTGACCATTTAGATGAGCCTGACCCAGGGCTTAGGGATAGCACATGGGAGAAGATGCAGAGGGGACTGCAGCTCCTAGTAACAGCCTGATTGACCACAGGTGGGGTACTTATCTGACCCTTGGGGTCCCCACAGTTATGCCCTGCCTGACCTACTTCCACATGGCCAAGGCCGTTTCTTCTACCACCAGGGGCATTCTCAGACTCCAGAATCCTCCATGCCTGGACTCCTATCTTCTGCCTAAGGCCTCCTTTGGAGTTTGGGTTTCCGGTTGAAGATCTGCCTTTTGCCTGGATGACTGAACCTAGGAGATCTGCCTCTCCATCCACCATTCTACCCAACTCCCTGCCACATGGGGTGGCCTTCTCAGTACCTCAGCAAGATGACAATGCCAGATATGCAGCTGTTTACCCCAATCTCCACCCATCGTTCCTTTAGTGAACATTTATTAAGAACCAAGATTGGCAGCTGCTCAGAGAGATGGTGGGAAGCCAGACAGATGCTGCTCCTGTCCTCACAGACAATCTGGGCTGCCTGCTTGGAGGTTCCTTGCAACATTTCTTAGGGTTTTGTACAGAAACCCCATCTATACTACCAGCAGGCTCATCCCTGAGTCAGAGCACAGTTCTTCCCTGCTGTCCCACATAGTCTTGGCTAGAATTCATCCTGGGGTCTTGTGGCTCTGGCTCAGCTTGCATTCTGCACACCCCTTAGTCAAGTGGTGTTTGCAGGCCCCACATGAAGCCAGATGTGTGATCAGATGTGTGGTATTCTCTCTCTAGAATGAAGGGGACAGACAGGTCTGGAGTTTCTCTGACAGGGCAGAAAGCATCCAGTGAAAGTGTCCCTCTTACTACCTGATTCCTGAGGTCTGGCTCCTGCGTCTTTCCTATATAGAGTCAGTCCAGCTCTGGAGACAGGCAGGGAATGGACAGTCCATTGTCTTTCCCCATCGATATCAATAGGCACCAACTTCACGATGCCGAGGTCCCAGGTCAGGTCTGTGTGGTTCCGCTGCTTAGTCAGTTGCCTTCCAGAGTTGGGGAGTAGCCCCCCAAGCTCTGAGAACTTGTGGGAATCCAGATGGGATCTAGAGAGAGGCCTTGAAACTTCAGCCAGGGAAAAGGTAAACCCTGCCACGCTGAGAATCTCCTCCTCCCAGTAACACCCTGCAGAGGTGTAATCAGTCCCTGGGTTCACAGCACACCTGTGATTTTGTTTATGCCACAATTGATCTGCCATTCCAGTCTGCAAAGAGCAGACACTTGGGGGCTTTATTATGCCACTTTAACAAAAGCTGTGAAGTTGTTCCCACAGCCTGTCTGGTGCCGCCTTCGCAAATAGGCCCTGGTGACAGGGCCCTCGGAGTTCAGCTCAAGGAGTCTGGGCGTGAGACAGGATGCATTGTGCACCCCTGGGTGGCAGCCTCTGTTGGACATTCACCATGCTTCTATTCAGTTTCCCAACCTCCTACGAAGAAGGCACTGTCATATCAGCCACTTAGCAAGCGAGTGGGCCAGAGAGGCGAAGGTTGTCACCAGGTTAGCTTGCAAGAGGCTGAGCAGCCCRTGCCCTTTTGGCTGGGCCAGACAGATGGGAAGTCTTGGCTCTTTACCCTCTGGGTCCTTTTCCTGCTGGGCCCTGCACTGTCAACTCCAGGGAGGGAATATAATTTCTAGTCCAATCTGAAGTATTTTTGAAAGTAAAACTGGCACTACTCATAATTACTCCAGGATGCATGTGTGAACCATTGTTCCAAGCAATGAAGCTGTGTGGTTACAATGCAAATTCC